GTGTGTGTGTGTGTGTGTGTGTGTGTGTGTGTGTGTGTGTGTGTGTGGTGGAGGGTTATAATTTGGGAAAGTGGTATTCAGGAGATAGACTCCAGGTAGAATCACAGAGACCTATAAAGAACCACAAAGGCCCAGGGTCCTCTGGGAAGGTCTGTAGGTCTCGCCCACTAAAAGCAGACCAGTGTGCCTGGGAGACAGCCAGCCAGGGTGACTCACGGCAAGCACAGTGCAGGGTTGGCGCTAGCTGAGGCAGAAGAATTGATGGAAACGTTCTCTGTGGCATATACAACGTCTTCTGACGAGAAGAAAATAACCTCAAAGCAGTCCTGGGGGGACTGATAAGCATCACTGGCCGCTGGCCACCTGTGGCTTTCAGAAGCAGCCCGCTCTTCATAAGCTCCCAGCCGCGTGTTCACCCAGCGGGCCCGAAAGCCTGCGTCAGCTGGGAGAAGAGGGACTAGCAGGACGGACAATGGGAGGAAATGGTAATTGCATCCTTAGGTGCAAACACGATGGGAAATTCAGAAGTTGCCTGGATCTTAAAAGGGAGGGACATGTGTATTTCACATTAGGGCACCGGGGAGACGCCAAGGAGCAGCTTATGGCTTAAGAGATTTACAACTTTGGCAAAGGCAATGCCCAGTCCTCCCCTGGGGATCTCTGACAAGGCCCATGTGTGAGGAGTCTTGGGTCAGAGGCCATCCTCCTCTGCTCTGGCTACTTAAGAGATCAGTTTACACAGAAGCCTGATTCAGCCCTGAGTTCTAGTGCCAGCCTTCGGTAGAATAATTGCAAGTGTTTCTTCCCTGGGCCTCAGCCTCCCATTCTGGAGCAAAATGGTCTTAGGCTGAATTATGTCTCCCCAAATCCATACATTGAACCCAACCTGAAGAAACAAACCTGCTTATAGTCCCAGTTACTCAGGAGGCAGAGGCAGGAGGATTGAAAGTCCAGGGCCAAACTGGTGCTGTGGTTCACACTTTTAATCCCAGCACTTAGGCAGAGGCAGGCAGATGTCTGAGTTCGAGGCCAGCCTGATCTACAGATCGAGAACCAGAGCTAGAGAAATCCTATCTTAAAAAAACAAACAAAATCTAAAAGAAAAAAAGAAAGAAAAGAAAGAAGTCCAATGTCAGCCAGGTTAGAGTAAGACTTTCAAAATTAAAAATGGAAAAGGATTGTTGTTTAGCTCAGTGGTAGAGCATTCGTCCTGCAAATGTGAGGCTCTCAGGTCAATCCTCAGTATAGTAACATGCACACAGACACACAGAAACACACACACACAGAAACACACACACACAGAAACACACACACACAGAAACACACACACACAGACACACACACAGAGAAACACACATACACAGACACACACACACACACAGACACACACAAAAACTCAAGTCCCTACCAACTATGAGACCTTCACAGTATGCATCTAGGGAAAGTGAGAGCCTTTAAACGGATGCTTATATTAGAATGAAGCCAGTAGGGTGGGCCCTGACCCCACCACCCTGCAGAGTTGTAAGAATAAGACTCGGTATTCAATGGATCTGAATCTGTATTCTGCATCAGTGTGTTCCCAGCCTTGTTAGCACCAGTCAAGGATACTAGGACAAGGGACTTCCACTGTCACTGTAGACTTAAAGCTCTCTTTTAACAAAACTTTCTGTGCAGAAGTTCACTTTATAGAAGCCGAGGACAGGGCTTCTATGGCGAAGGCAGAGATTAGCTTGCTCTATAATTCCCACTAGGATCCTGAGCTATAAAAGCTAAGAGGCCAGGGTCCATCTGAACCATGTGCCCGAAGCTGTCCTCTGCTTCAGGTCCCTCCAGCAAACTGTGCTTTCCTGCACTGCAAAGCCAATAAGCCCACAGTGGGAAAGCCCCAGTGAACCTGGCCATGGTAGGTGAGACTCAGTAACAGATGCCCTGCTCCCAACACCTCAGCATTTGGGAGTAATGAGCCAGGACCAAGGGACCTGCCCTCTGGGTATCCGGGTTGCCTAGTGACAAGAGGCAACAGAGAGCATTTCTTGGGAGGCTAGCAATGACCAAGTCTCTCAAACTTTTTCACCATCTGGAGGTCCTTGAACCACTGGCCAGTGACAAAGAATAGAACAAGAGAGCCTCAGGGCCAGGAGAGCCCCCGGGGCTCAGTGTAGGCTCTGGGAAAAGACTGGTCCAAGCTAGTGGTGGATACCATCCAAGATTCAAGACCTGAGGCCAGTTTCTGGCCTCTGCCCTTTCCACACATCTCACAATGGTTGGGGTTCTGCTGAAGAGCAAGCTGACGACACAGGATAGGCTCTATAGCTGCAGGTCCTTCCAAATGCATTCTTCTCTCAGAAGCTTTGGTAGGCCAGGAGGGCAGGACCCTCATCTCTCACCGATAGGGAAACTGAAG